AAAAAAAAAAGCTGGGTGTGGTGGTGCACACCTGTAGTCCCAGCTATTCGGGAGGCTGAGGTGGAAGGATCACTTGAGCCCAGGAGGTTGAGGCTGCAGTGAGCAGTGCTTGAGCCACTGCACTCCAGCCTGGATAACAAAGCAAGACCCTACCTCTTAAAACAAATAAACACATTAACCCCTGCTATACCTGTAGGTCCTTATAGGTCCCAGATGGACAAGACGTCACCCCTTATTTGCTGGGGCATAAGGAGGTCTGAGAGCTCCAGGGAAGTGGCTGGGAGTCCCTGGGGGACCTTCAAGGAATGCAAAGGACTTATTATTATGTATCATTGAGTTTGGAAATACTTCAATATTTGAATTACTGGAGCTGCCATATGGGTGCTTAGTGACTGACTCTAAGCTCTAGATGCAGCCACGGTCTGGAGTGATGATGTGGTCTTTTCTGCAGCATGTGGGAGCTGGGCATTCCTCTGGACGGGACTGTCTGTTTCGGACAACTTCTGGGCATGTGTGACCACGTCTCTCTGGCACTGGGTATGTGAATGTCTCCCCCATCCCCACCAAGCCCCAGGCCTCACTCCCTCCCAGCCAGAGCCCTTCTCCTATTCCCAATCAAGGCCCAGCCTCCAGATCCTTCCAGAGAGATCTGTCATTCCAGTGTCTGCGGGCCTTCCCAGGCTGTGTCTCTGTGTCTGCCGTCTGTCATTTCTGCTGGTTCTTGATCATGGTGTATTATTTCTTGTGTGTTTTGCTATCTTTACTCCTTTTGCTCCTCAGAGCCTGACACCAGATAATTAACGTTTCCTTCTGCCAGGTGCTAAGCAGAACAAAATCACTTTATCCTAAATTCACAGCTTGAGTTTCTTGAGACACCCCACTGGTGCAAATTTGAACTACAAATACATAAGGGGGTTAACCCATAGCCCCAAGTTCGCAGAGGTGGATTTTTCTGTTTTGTTCCTTGATCTGTTTATGACCAAGACCATTTCCTGGGACTGGGGGAAGGTTGCAGTGTTGACTGTTTATTAGCTCTTACTCTGAGGGTGTAGTTTTTTGGGTTCTGGTTTAACTTGGGGAAGTTCTCCCTTATAACTCTCACCTCAGTCAGGCTTGAAGTCTGACTCAATGTCCTCCCAAAACTCTGTGAAGTCATCAAATAGCAGCTCGGTTTTGCTTTCAGGACAGAAGTGGCTTACTGTGTGTCCCTACTCTCTCTGGGTTCTCATTTTCTTATTTATTTATTTATCTATTTATTTATTTAGAGACAGAGTCTTGCTCCGTTACTCACGCTGGAGTCCAGTGGTGCCATCTTGGCTCACTGCAACCTTTGCCTCCTGGGTTCAAGCAATTTCTCCTGCCTCAGCCTCCTAAGTAGTTGGGACTACAGGCAGCTGCCACCATGCCTGGCTAATTTTTGTATTTTTAGTAGAGACAGGTTTCACCGTGTTGGCCAGGCTGGTCTCGAACTCTTGAACTCAGGTGATCTGCCCACCTCAGCCTCCCAAAGTGCTGGGATTACAGGCATGAGCCACCATACCTGGCCTCACTTTCTCTTGATTCTTGGATTAGTAAATTCCTTACTCTCTTGGCACCATTTTAATAACTAAGACTTTTTAAAATGCAGGCTGGATGCAGTGGATCACGCCTGTAATCCCAGCATTTTGGGAGGCCAAGGCATGAGGATCACTTGAGCTCAGGAGTTTGAGGCCAGCCAGGGCAATATAGTGAGATTCCACCTCTTCAAATAATAAGAACAATTAGCTGGGGCAGGGCGTAGTGGCTCACACCTGCAACCCCAGTACTTTGGGAGGCCAACGTGGGTGGATCACTTGAGGTCAGGAGTTCGAGACCACCCTGGCCAACATGGTGAAACTCCATCTCTACTAAAACTACAAAAATTGGCTGGGCATGGTGGTGCATGCCTGTAACCCAGCTACTGGGGAGGCTGAGGCAGGATAATCACTTGAACCCAGGAGGCGGAGGTTGTAGTGAGCTGAGATCATGCCACTGCACTCCAGCCTGGGCGACAGAGCCAGATTCTGTCTCAAAAACAAAATAAATAGGTCGGGTGCGGTGGCTCACGCCTGTAATCCCAGCACTCTGGGAGGCCGAGGCAGGCGGATCACCTGAGGTCAGGAGTTCGAGACCAGCCTGGCAAACATGGTAAGACCCCCGTCTCTACTAAAAATACAAAAATTAGCCAGGTATAGTGGCACACGCCTATAATCCCAGCCACTCAGGAGGCTGAAGCAGGAGGAGAATCACTTGAACCTGGGAGGCGGAGGTTGCAGTGAGCGGAGACTATGCCACTGCACTCCAGTCTGGGCAACAGAGTGAGACTCTGTCTCAGAAAAACACCAAAAATGAAAAAGCAAAACCCACTCTCCCTGCAGGGCAGGCCGGCTATGTAGTGTATAAGTCCATCCCCTATGGCTCCTTGGAGGAGGTAATCCCCTACCTGATCCGGAGGGCCCAGGAAAACCGGAGCGTGCTTCAGGGTGTCCGCAGGGAACAGGAGCTGCTCAGCCAAGAACTGTGGCGGCGGCTGCTGCCAGGACGCCGAAGGATACCCCACTAGCACCCCTGAGGGGGTCATGTGGTCAATAAAGGTCCTTAGGCACTGCCAAAGCTGCTGTCCTGCACTGACACCGCCTCCTTGTGGAAGGGCTCATCTTGACCTCAGCCAGTCCAAGCCAGGGGTTTTGCAATTCAAGAGAGAGCATTAGGCTGGGAGTGGTGGCTCTTGCCTATAATCCCAGTGCTTTGGGAGGCCAAGGTGGGAGGCTTCCTTCAGTCTAGGAGTTCGAGACCAGCCTGGGCAACATAGCAATATTCTTTCTCTATAAAAAATTAAATCAGTAAGGCATGGTGGTGCGTGCCTGTGGTCCCAGCTCAGGAGACTGAGGCAGGAGGATCACTTGAGCCCAGGGGTTTGAGGCTGCAGTGATCTATGACTGTATCCAGGCTGTTCTCCAGTCTGGGTGACAGAAAGAGACTGTATTTCAAAAAAAAAAAAAAAAAAAGATTGAGTGTGGTGACTCACACCTGTAATCCCAGCATTTTGGGAGGCTGAGGCGGGTGGCTCATGAGGTCAGGAGATCGAGACCATCCTGGCTAACACAGTGAAACCCCATCTCTACTAAAAATACAAAAAAAAAAAAAGCCAGGCATGGTGGTGGGCACCTGTAGTCCCAGCTTCTTGGGAGGCTGAGGCAGGAGAATGGCATGAATCCAGGAGGCAGAGCTTGCAGTGAGCTGAGATCATGCCACTGCACTCCAGCCTGGACAACAGAGCAAGACTCCGTCTCAAAAGAAAAGAGAAGAAAAAGATCGTTAGACACCCACTGAGAATAGTAAGGGCACTGATGGAGGACTAAGGAAGCCTCCCCCTCCTCTGAGGCAGCCCATCCTGGGTTGGGTCTGACCAGCGACTGATGCAGAACTTTCTTCATCCCAGGGGATGCCTAAAGGACGGGCACACATGGAGAGCAGACACCAAGGCACTGAAGTCAAGGGGCTTGGCCTAGGCCAAGTGGCCAGGGAGGGACAGAAGAAAGAGCCAAGTCATTCTGTCAGTTAATAAGCATTGAATGAAACTAAGCGCAGTGGCTCATGCCTGTAATCCCAGCACTTTGGGAGACCAAGGCAGGTGGATTGCTTGAGGTCAGGAGTTTGAGACCAGTCTGGGCAACATAGTGAAACCCCATATCTCAGAAAAGAAAGAAATTAGCCAGGCGCGGTGGCTAACACCTGTAATCCCAGCACTTTGGGAGGCTGAGGTAGATGGATCACGAGGTCAAGAGATCGAAACCATCCTGGCCAACGTGGTGAAACCCTGTCTCTACTAAAAATACAAAAATTAGCCTGGCGAGGTGGCACTTACCTGTAGTCCCAGCTACTTGGGAGGCTGAGGCAGGAGAATCGCTTCAACCTGGGAGGCGGAGGTTTCAGTGAGCCAAGATAGTGCCACTGCACTCCAGCCTGACAACAGAGCGAGACTCCACCTTAAAAAGAAAAAATTAGCTAGGTGTGGTGGGTGGCCTGTGCCTGTGGTCCCAGCTACTTGGGAGACTGAGGCAGGAGGTTGGCTTGAGCCCTGGAGGTGGAGGCTGGAGTGAACTGTGATCTCACCACTGCACACCAGCCCGGGCAACAGAGTGAGATCCTGTCTGAGAAGAACGCCAGGTACAGTGGTTCATGCCTGTAATCCCAGCACTTTGGGAGGCCAAGATGGGCAGAAGTCAGGAGTTGGAGGCCAGCCTGGTCAACATGGTGAAACCCCGTGTCTACTAAAAATACAAAAATTAGCTGGGCGTGGTGGTGTGAGCCTGTAATCCCAGCTGCTCGGGAGGCTGAGGTAGGAGAATTGCTTGAACCTGGGAGATGGAGGTTGCAGTGAGCCGAGATCGTGCCCCTGCACCCCAGCCTGGGCGACAGAGTGAGAATAAAAGCGCTGAATGAGGCCTCCTTTGAGCTAGGTTCTGGGGTGAACAAGGCTGTGAACACAACAGTGACAAGAACGACCCCAGGTCCTGCCTTACAGAGCTTAGTCCGGTGTGGGTAGACAGCCCCATCCTCAGACAGTGACAGGCCCGACTGGTCAGGGCGATGGGTCCCAGGCCGAGTCGCTGGGCTGTGTTGGGGAAGGGGGTGCTACTGCGCAGGCGCTGCGGGAGGCCACTGGGGCTCAAGCACCTCGGATTCCCACTCATACGGCGGCCGAATCACGTGGCAGTCACGTGGCGACCACTGTCTAGCCCAACGGTGAGTGCAAAGCCACCTGGACTGGGGGTCTGGGCCCAGAACTTTCCCAGAGCTTTCTGCTCCCACAGATTACTCTCAGACCCTTCCGCGAGCCCTCAAGCCCCTCCCACCGTGTCATTCTCTTCCGCGGCCCTCAGACCCCGCCCCCACCCGTTTAGCAAACCCTGTCCCCATTCCGCTGACCCCTTCCCCAGCCCCAGACACTGTCCTCAGAGCCCCCTTTCCCAGCCTGCAGACCCCACCCCTAACACACAGACACTTCCCTAGTCCTTAGTCCAGGCGTCCCACCCTCGGACCCTCGAACCGTCGGCAGATCCTGCCATCAGTGCCCTCTCCTCCTTCAGAGCCCGCCGGCTGCCCTCAGACCCCATCCACCCCGCGGACCCCACAGACGCTGTCCCCAGAGCCTTCCCACGACCCCTCTCACCACCTCTCAAATCCTAAACCACAGACGCCTCTTCCTCCCACCGCAGCCTTCAGAGCCTCCTCCCAAGCCCTTCGACTCCCTTCCCAGGCTCAAATTCTATCCTCGCAGCCCTTCTGCCACCCTGGCACGCCCGACCCCAGCCCTAAGCCCCCTCCCAGCCCTCCAATTGCCTTAGATCCCCCTCAGCTCTCAGTCTCCCTGCGACCCCAGACCTTCTGGTGTGTCGCCCTCCCAGAGCCACCCCCTTTTCTCATTCAGCCGCCTCCCTTCTCATCAGACCCCTCCTGAATCCCCTTCCCTTCTAGACTGCGCCCCCAAAACCCCCAGCCAACTCTGTCTTTATTGTTTTCTTGTCCCCAAAGTTCTGGTCCTTCACATCCCCCTTCCCTCATGAGACCCCCTAGCGGATCCCTGCCCGGGAACCAGACCCCACAGATGCCCTCACTGCCCTTTCGCTTCCCAGTGGAGCTGGGTTCCAAGAGGGATCTAGACACCCAGGTGGGCCGTCTGCACCATGTGGCTGTGGCGGGGGAGCCCAGGATGGGGCCCGGCCAGGCTCCTGCTGAGAGGTGAGGGCCTGGTTGCTGGTACATCTGTCGGGGCAGGATCAAGGAGCTGTATGGAAGGTGTGGCTTCAGTTGGCCAGTCAGCAGTGGTACCGAGCACTGACTGTGTCCCGAGCTCTGCGGTCCCTGATGGGGATTTAAGGGTGAACATGACCCTTGGACAGGGTGGACAGGTCCGCCCCGGGTCTGACCAACTGGTCTGTCCCCACAGAGAAAGTGTGCCGTGAAGTGGCTCACAGAGCCAAGACCACACCCAGGTGTGTGCCCCCTGTGATGTCCCCAGACCCCATCCCATTCCAGGTAGGAGCCAGGATGGGGCTGTGGGGGACCAAGGGAGCTGTAGGACACCTGGGCAACCCATGCCAGCTCTCTGCCATCCCTCTCTGCAGGCCCCAGAGACTCCTGAGGTCACAGGCCACAGCAGGGTGCAGCCTGGAGCTTGGGCAGCAGCTTGACTCTAGGCAGCAGCTCTGGGCCTAGCTCAGGCCCCAGCCCTAGGTCTGGCCACAGCCCCACAGCCAGGGTCAGCCTGCACTGCTGCCTGGAGCCCAGCCCAATAGTACAGATACCCCCAGAGCCTTGAACAACTGTCCCATTGCTAACCTGTGACTACCTCTGCCCGCCCTCCAGTAGTCACCAACCCCAAGTTCTCTGGCTGCCTCTCCTTTGACCAGGGAATTTTAGGGTCGCCCAACTGTCCCCTCACTCACCTGTGACCCTTAACCAACCCTGCTTCCCCCAGGGCCCTTCCCTGCACTCCACCTCCAGCCTCCAGGACTCAGCCTCCCTGCTGGGGACCCAGAGCTCTATGGAGCAGTTTGAGGAAGCTCTCAGCCAAGATTCCAGCCCTGCAGGGGCTGCTGTGGCACACACACAGGGTTACTCTGCTGGAGCCCCAGCCCTATGAGCCCATCCCCAGCCTGCTGACCCACAGGGAGGCTTCCCACACATTGGGAGGCTGCTGGAAGGCCACGAGGGCAGGCTAAGCAGGGGACCCCGAGCCCAGTCTGTGCCCCATCCGCCCTCCCAGGCCCGCTGGAGCGCCATGGCTACCAGGTGGCATCTCCAGCCTTCTCTCCTGCAGGCACCCGCTACTGAGCTGACTGGAGAAGGTCTCTTCTCCAGCCTGCAGAAGTGAGACCTGAGGCCTCGGATGGGAGGACCCTGGGTAACCCTAGGTCTTTATCCCTGAGGTAACCCTAGGTCTGCCTGTGCCCCACTGCTTCCCAGGATGGACCTGCTGGAGATCATAGCAGAGCTGCAAAAAGGATGTCAGCTTGGAGAAAAGCCCAGCCTGAGCCCCACTCCTGACCTAGACTCCCAGGGTGCCCATGGTTCCCGCTCTGCGGATACCACCTCTTAGAGGCTCCCAGGAGTAACTCCTGCCTTGGTGCCTCCCCAGAAGGAAATAGACTGATAGAGCGCCCCCTCTGTCTGTCTTCACTCACTGAGTTTGGCCCCAGCACGACTTCAGCAGCCACATTTTCACCATTTTATTCATTAATGTTGTCAGATGGTTTAGTGGGGCATGTGGGGAAGGAAGGGTAGGAGTTGTCCCCCCATCCCCGTGCACAGGTCAGGACATGCTGGGGGCTCCTGGAGGGAGAGGAGGATGGGGTCAGCCTAGCCCCCCCACCCCAGATTTGTGCAAGGGCCCCCAGGATGGAGGGGGGGGGATGGGCGGACCCTTCAGTCCAGGGTAGGGAAGCTGGGATTACAGGTTAGGGACCCACATCAGAAGCAAGTTACAAAGTTAGAAACCTGGGGTAGTGGTCGGGGCTCAAGAAAATACAAAACAAGGGATTTGGTTGAGCCAAGATCCAGTAGGGGTGAAGGGAAGGAAGGACGGCCCCTCCCAGCTGGTGCTCAGC